TCATAGATCTGCTGCCTGAGGCTACCTGTGTCATAACTCTAATTGGCTAATTGTGTTGACAAACACAGATTTGCAGGCTCCTCTCAAGGGATCCTCTCTAAACAGTGCTTATCAAAGTTTCATGTGCAATCTTGATGAAATGTAGGTTCTGATTCAGTAAGTCTGAGATGGGGCCTGAATTCACTGTCCTCATAAGCTCTCAGGTGATATGAATAATACTGAGTAGCAAAGAGCTTGTGGTATTGAAGTGAACTCGATAGGACCTTGGAAACTGGAGAACTTCATCCTCAGGGTTTCCTAGTTTGTGGATCTGGGGGGTGGGTCAGACCCCAAGAACTAGCATTTCCAACAAGTTACCAGGTGCTGCTGCTGCTGCTGCTGCTGGTCCAGTAATCACACTTCAGGAAACACTGAAATTCAGATTAGAATTTTAGTATGGATCTCAAAGAGGTTAGAAATAGTGTGGGATAGGGTACAGTGGAATTTCTATCCCTCTTATAGAATACCTATTATGGACAAAATATCTTTGTGAATTTGGACTTCAAGTTTTATATAAATGAGCTTCCCCTTTTAATTCCTAAACTTTCTATATATACACATATTTTAATAGAGGCAAAGCCAAACCAAGGAAATTCTTTATTTCCACTTTAGAATAGAGGGGTCCTCTTAGTTTTTCTTGAACTATGCCTGGCAGATGATAATTCTACGTGAATTTTTTAGTGTGAAATCCAGGTGAAACCCTGTGTATCTCAAAAGAAACCTTGAAGTTTCTTTTTAAATATTAGTAATTCCATGTTATTGTATTAAAGAGTCCCTAAACATGAGCAAATAAAAACACTCTGTAATTATAGATATTAATTGTTGAACACTGACAGCTAAATTTTAAAAAGTGTGAAATCTTGTATATTCTCAGGTCACACTTCTTTTTAATTGTTCTTTTTCCTCTAAAGCTATGAAATAAATATCACCTAACTCTGCAGATTGGTTTTATCAAAGGGCATTTTATTCCTATTACTCAGAAGACTTACTTTAAGAAATAGAGATTTTTTAATAACTTCATGTGAAATGTGTATTATGAATTTACTTGACACATTTATTTTCATAATGCTTCTTACATACATAAATTAGTCTATATATTTGAAAATGGTTATTGTCTTATTGTTAATACAAATTTGAGGTCATGTGGTTTTTATTTTTTTATGCAACACTATTCTTTCAAAAAAGTTTTAAAAAGTATTTCTGCTTAATTTATTGGGCCTTACATAGAGTACAAAAGTCTATCTATTCTTGGTAATTCTCCTGCTGTAGTTCAATTTTCTTTTCCTGACATAAGTAGGAAGACAAATGCACTGTCTGGGTCAAATGCAATGTTTCTTTAGATACATTAGAAATGCAGATAAATGAGACCAAGAGACATCAAGTATTTGGTTAGCCAAAAAGTCCCCTTATTTTTTTCTGTAAAATAAAAGACATATTTCATGTCCACAATTAACTTAATAGATTTGGATATTTTGAGAACAATGTAATGTGGTAATACATTGATTTTTCTCAATCAATGTCTCGATTTGATCACTATCAACTTCTACTGGTCCATCTGACCATTTGGCATTGTCCTGTGAGAAATCTCCAGCACAAAACTTCACAAACCACTTTTGACATGTTCTATCAGTCACAGCATCTTCTCTAGACACTGTACAAATCTTTTTTTGTGTTTCAGTTGCATTTTTTACCTTTCTTGAAATAATAAAGCATAATATGCTAATAATGTTGCTTATTTTCTTCCATCGAATTTTCATGTTCTTTTTTTAATGCCTGCTGATATGACAGCTCTCACAATACAATTTAACAAAATTATTTCAAATGAAGTTAAAGACATCTAAACATTACAAGTGCCGTCTTACAGAAAAACAAATTTTGGGGCAAACCTAATAATATACATTGTTTGTTTGATTACATAGCCTAATTGATTATTTTCAGCTAGTACAACACTTTTATAACTAACAAACCATAAAAAGGGAGTTAGCTTTTCCTTTCTATGATAATAAAACTACTCAACTCTAAAACACCTATGGTGGATATTTTCCAAATAACATAGCATATTGAATTTTTAAAAGTTGACATATGTATAGATATCAAGTTTTATAAAATATTTTAATAAACTCAGGAGAGATTAAAAGCTCAGTAAAGAAAGTATTTAACAAAATTCATTTATAGTAATTAATCTTTATCTATTTTGATGTTCCCATGGCATTTTTTCACATTAAATAATTTTAGATCTGAATCAAGTTAAAGAAAATTTAATTGTATATTTTACCTAACTACAGATTTAATTATAGAAAAACAATTTATGATTCATTTGACAATTAATTTATATGAAATAATCCATAAAATACAATGTTTTATTAATAAACTAAACTTGTAAAGTGTACAGTGGAATTTCAGATTTTTCATCAATCATACACTTAACATTTAATTTTGAGTGTAAACAGAGAATGACTTTGAATTTCCTACATAAATCAAAAGACAGTCACAGTTCCTCTGTGAGATAAATTTCATTGATAATATTTGAAAACATTTTCAATAGCCAAAACTTCTTAGTATAAATTAATTTCCCATACTTTCTAATAATTCTAGTAATACTTTTAGAGTGTCTTTTCTTGCTGACCAAGAAATCCTCCTTTGGCATTTAACTGTATTTTATGTTTAGACACAAATTTTCTCTTCTACATTTAAGCAAATGTAAAACAAGAAGATATAAGTGCAAACAAAGAAGTTATTGTTTGGCTAGCAATTTTTAACTGCTCAGAAAACATTCTGTACCTACACTTAAGAATATAACTTAACATGACATTATGATATATTTCCAAATTTTTAATATTACATTTTAAAAATTACAAGCCTGGCATCATTGTCAGAACAACATGTATGTCAGACAATAGAGATTGTATTATGCCCCAAAATTATTTCCTTTACAATGGCTATAAAAATCATGGAATGTGGATGGCTTATAAAATAAAATCTTACTTATTGAAACGACATTTTTATCCTGCTCTAATATCCAATTTCATGTCAAGAAACACCTTGATTAGAAGCTGTAACTGAGAAAAAGGAGACTAGTCACAAAAGTTTTAAAAAGTAACCACTCATTTTTTTCAATAGTTAACTAGCTCATAGTTATATGAAAAAATTTTTTCATTTTCTATTATTTTTTTAATTCTTACCCAAGAATATGTTCATTGACTTTTAGAGAGAGAGAAAGGGAGAGAGAAAGAGAGAAACATCTATCAGTTGTCTCCTGTGCACAGCCTGACCAAGGATTGAACCTGCAACTAGGTATGTGCCCCGACCTGGTATGGAACCTGCAAACTTTTGGTGTATGTGACAATGCCCCAGTCAACTGAGCCACTCAGCCAGGGCAAAACACTTTTTATTGCATGAGAAATATGTGTGATATATGCTGTTATTGTTTATAAATTTATAGTTTGGCACAGAAGACTCCTAAAATATTTTATATATGTATGTTTTTTAAAATAAATAATATATAGTATCCTATTAAATTATTATGCTTTTAAAATAATTTGTTAACGTACATGTTCATTCATCTGTCATTCAAAACATATTTGGTGTTGCTTTAATATATTTCAGTTTTTAACATGTGCAGTCGAGACATGCTTTGTTTCCGATTTTCTATTTTGTTACAGTAATTACAAACATAGGCTGAGTATTAAGTTCCAATATGAATGAATGGTCATTCACTTTCTAGCATCTTCAAAGGTCTAAGCCCTACATCAGAATTTCCAGCCTAATGCCTGCTGGGCTTGTCCAACAAATGCTTGAAGATTGTGAACCTGTGGCAAACTAGGGAATGCATGTTCTTGCCAAGTAATTTATCATTTTTAAAAGTCAGTATACATCATGATGAGCAAAGAAACCAAATTTGTGAGTCTAAGTCAACCCATGGGCATCAAGGTTGCAATTCTTGCATGGAAATGCTTTCATGTAGTCCTTATAAAAACTCTGTGGCTCAAATTGCTGTGAACTTACTCTGGTCTATGTCTTTCCAGTTGCCCTAGAAGCTATAGGAACTTGATAAGGCATTCCCATGGGCAGAGATCCAAGGACCAAGCTGTGAAGGTTCCTGAAAATAAACAGTGCTAGGAACACCTCTGCAGGTGAAGAATGTAGTGAGGAATGAGCTATTATTTACCAAATTGAAGACTGCACTAAAGAAAATTTAAAAATCCATCAACACATAGCCACTTGCACAGAGGGAACAACTCTAGCACCAGAAACAGTATTTCTAATAGATTTAATAATAATTCAAAATCCCCAAGATTTTGAAGAAAGCATTTAATTTTCATCTAAAATAAAAATTCACTTTTATTAGCCTCCACAATACCCAGCTCTCCTACATATTCTTCCATAGCATACAAAGTAACATAAGGTACAAGAAAGCACATAGTACAGTCCTGAAAAGGGCAATATGTACAGGCATATACAAGACAATGAACCAATGGAACCATTATTTCTAGAGAACACAGAAGTTACCAGACGAGGAGAATTTAGGGAGCTTTATATTTATAGTATCCTTATCTACATGACTTGAAGTTTGCCTCCAATAAACAAACACATTAGCAGGTGCTGCTATCATTGTACATTCAATAAACTCCTGCATAAGCATTTGCAGATGTTACTCTGTTAAAAAGGAGCATTTATTTCTTTACACATGTCTTCGCTAGTGTCCTAAATTTGGGTTCCAGGTGATCTAGGAACTCAAGCCCTTCTTCTTCCTGCCGATCACTGCAGCAGCCTACGGAGCCAGCCATGGACCCCTTTCCTTCATAGTTGTATGAATGAACATAGTCTTCAGAATGTTTATGCTCCTCATCTTGTCCACACAGATAGACTTTCTGTATTAAAAAAGAGCACATTTTATTATTTTTTAAAAACACCTAAACATATTAGCATAAAAATAATGTCTTTGATTTACCTTTTAATGTTTAATTTTTAATCAGAGTGTGTCCTCTAATGGATTCCTACGTATAAAAAATGCACATGATTGGTCTGTATTATAGTCATTTTTAAAATATAGCAGATACATAAATGCTCCCCGTGAAAACATTTATGAAAACTAAAGTTACACACATATCATACAACCAACTTTCTATTTCCCATTTGAACATAAGATTTGTATAGTTGAACTGGGTCTCCATAGCTTCCCATGTTTTGGGGAAAATCAATATTGGCTATGATTCTTATTGTTTATACACCATTAAATAGCTATAATAATTTAATATATTAAACTGGCTAATATTAACTTACATTGATTAATCTGAACATAAAACAAGGAACTAAAACCCCAAATAAAAGCTTAACAGTTTATCTGGTTGATATCGACAGCCAGGATTTTATAACCACACGAAGGATTTAACACACTAAAAAATGTTTATAATTTACGATCTGTGGATTACTCTCTAACAAATATCTCACTCTAGGTGATTTTCCTTGTAATTTTTAGGGAACATGCTATCAGTCTTTTTATACTTCCTAAACAGGTCTACATATGCCACTCCTAGATAAAATTTTGTATTCCTTATTTTAAACATTGAACTTTACAAAATCATTTCTCCCTTTGGGTTTGGACTTGACGTCCAAAGCTATAATAATTCCACATTTAACAAGTGATGAATTCCAGGTGTATGAGAAATAAAACTTTTGGGAAGTCCTGATTTATAAACAGTGTTAACTTTCATGGAATATGAGCTCAAAGACACTGGCACTTACTTCGCCAAGCCGAGGCTGGGTAAAGCTGTGCCAGTCGGTGTATGTGTATCTGCCGGTATCTGTTACTCCCAGTCCTGCTCCCTTGACGGATTCCAGGGTCTGCTGTGCACCGCCTTTGCTGGAGTCCAAAGTGTAGCCGCCTTTGACCATCTCAAAGCTTTGCTGTGTTTTGACTCCCTGGCCACCAAGAGTGCCCACAGACATGCTTGTGTCACAGACGTTGGATGTCTGTGTGGGGAGTCTAATATTTGCTTCCTAAAAATAAAGTTAGAGTTATAAAATGAAGGAATCACATTGAAACTAACAATTTGCCTTTCTGTCTTTCCCACACTAGGCAAATCACTTACTTGCTGTGCCCCTCAGTTTCCCATACCTAAAATCAGGATAATAATAGCACCCATAGGGTAGGTACTATGGGTTGAATTGTGTCTCCTCCAAAACTTGTATGTTGAAATCTTAACTCTTAGCGCCTCAAAAGATGCTCTTATTTGAAGATAGGGTCATTATCGATGTCATTAGTTTAATTAAGATAAGGTCATCAATTAGGGAGGGACCTTAATCCAAAAGGTGAAATGTGGACACAGAGACGCACACAAGGAGAATGCCATTTGAAGGTTTGATTTACACTGCCATAAGCTAAAGAGCTTCGTTCCAGGTGCCAGACGAGAGGCCTGAGACAGGCTCTTCTCTAGCACCTCCACAGGGAACCTGTCCCTGCTGACACCTTCATCTTTTAAACTTCAGCACTGTGAGACCACATATTTCTATTGTTTAAGTTACTCGGTTTCTGGTACTTTATTATGGCAGCCCTAGGAAACTAATAAAGCAGAATTACGAATATTAAGTCCATTAACACATGCAGGGCACTGAGCTCTGCTTTGCATAGTAAGGGCTCAATCAACATTAGATGTATTATTATTACTACTATTATGTAATAATCAACTGTCATCATTGCCTCACCATACAGTCAAAAGAAAGTGAAGTGTGGTTTACCATGACTTCTTCTCCAGGTCCTTCAGTATTTGAGATAATTAAATTTTGTTGGGCTACATCATCTGGAAAACATTTCTTTACTGTTCTCTTAGCAGTAACACAGAAACATGTAAACAGGGCACCTAAAAAAATAAAAATAGGTAAGTTGAATTATTTTTTGATGCTGATATATATTAAATCATTTGAATCATATGATTGTTTAAAAGTTCCTTCACAGAACTTAAAAATTTTTATTTCATAAATTGAAATACCCTTGGGTCATATAATTTAAAACAGAATATTAACAACTGTACTAATATATAGACCATCTCTGTCTTAGTGAGATTATGTTGTTAGACTAACTGAGAAACAGATCAATAAAAAGTAAGGAGGATGAAGTGAGCATAGCTTATTAATAGTTCTCTTCCCAGGTCCAGAATTAACTTAAATGTTTCTCTCATTTCCTCCTCACTGAAATAGTAACTTCATTTGATTGAAATTTAAGCTAATATTATTGGTATTTAAAATCCATACAGAACACACTTAATGGACTTAGAACCATAAACCAAAGAGCATTAGGCATAAATACAAACAGGAAAAGCAGTTACATAAAATCAGTGACTGGTTTTGAAAGTGTACATCACTAACAGAGTGCTAAGAGAAACATTCAGTTTAGTTTGAAACTCAAATCAATGAATTAGGAACAACAAAAACTATGGCAAAAGTTTATACATGTGACTAGGATGCGTGTAGTCAAATAAGTTGTTAATAAAGAAAGAAAAGAGAGAGGGAGGGAAGAATGATGGGAGACAAGAAAGGAAGTGTGGGCAATGATTTCCATCACTTTTGCATCTCTAAAAAACAGGTGGCAGAATGCACAACCTTAACTTTCTTTGCATGCATCACTTTTCCTCAGTAGTTTACCATATGACTATTATCCATTCGTTACACTCATTGAAGTTTTCTTAAGATGTATGCTATTTCATTTCATTAATAACATTGAGCATAAACGTCTAAGTAAATTTTGGAGCTACTCTTTTCACTAATTCTTTCTGTTCATTCACTATTAATATTTTGTATGAGAGGGAATCTTAATACTATTTTATCCAACCTCTTCATTATACATGTGGAATAAAGAATTTAAGAAGAGGAAATGATTTACCCAATGTCTCACAGATAATTATGGGAAGAACTAAGGCTACACCTCTGAAAATCACTTTAATCCGCTCTTAATGATATGTTTCTTCTTCTATGACTCAGAACCCTAAGTCTTCTAGTACATGCAAGATTTTTAAAAGGATATATATATATATCAAAGGCTATAAATGTCATTGATATAAAGAATCACCATATGTTTTTAACAATATTAGAAAAATTTCAGTTAACATATTCTAGAAATATACTTACATAACAACAATGCAGAACCCAACACCATGGCAAGAATTGCCCATTTTCCAAGTATGACTTTTGCTACTTTAATATCACGCTCTCTTGTTGCCGAAGCCATGTTACATTCAGATGGAGTTGTACAGTCACATACTCTGACTGACAATACGTGTTTTGCAGCAAGACCATGTTTATCTTTTATTTCAATAGGCACATTATAAATGTTATAATCAAGTTGTTGCTTTGCACGAAGCAATGCAGTATTATCTATGGGAAAAATAAAAGAGAATATATATTGATATAATGACTTTTCAATAGCAATATTATTCTGACTTTGTATTCTTGGGGTGGGGAAGGCAAACAGGAGGCATAGAATTTACCTTAGAAGAAAATTTCTAGTGGTTCATTTTTTTTTCTTAAAAATGATTTTGAATTTTGATAAATAGGGAAGACTAATTGATATAGCTCTATCCTTATATTAATCTATACGTAACATGCTATTCAAATATTATATTAAGAAAAATTTATGACTTCTTAAGGTATATTCAAAACAAGAGTCTAAATTTCATAAATATATTATTTATTACTTAAAAAAAGCAAGGCATTATTCTTATGGGATCAATAAAATAACTTCTTAAAATTAACACTTAATTATCACCATAAAGTTAAGTGAAAGTCAAGACCATCAGCCATCTTAAGTTTCTATTGATTATATGATTTAGCATAATTACACACCATCTTTTTTTTCTAAGGCCCAAAGTTTGTTGACAGAATTATCCAGACGGAATTCAAAAGGTGGACCATTCTCTGGTCCATCTGCATCCACAGGTTGGAGAAGAGCAAAATCCTGATGATGCTGACAAATTGTCACATCTTTGTTAATTTGTGGTGGGTGATCATTATGATCTTCCAAAAGAACGACTAATGTGCCAGTGCAAGATCTGCCATCTAAAAAAAATTAAAAATAAAACATATCTCTAGTTAAAATTTTGTTTTCTGCCATCTCTATGATACAACTTGACTGGTTTCTACTAGCTGTCTGGACTTGAATTTCACACTCTTCAGATCACATTACTGTAAGTACAAAACATGACAGGTGCTTTTTGAAACTAAAAGATGTGAGATTATGAATAATGTCACTAATAGAATACTCAGTTGAAAGTTGAAAATCGATTTCTTACATCTGTCTTTATGAAGAGCTATATTCATGCTTAAAATACAAAGACTTTACAGTTGGTCATCAATAACTTTTTCACCCTCTTTTCCTGACCGTTTTCCTCATATGCTCTTTGCGCAAACTTTAAAATTTGTCATCAAACCCACTATGTGTACTCCTTTCCATTTCTGCTTTGATGTATTTTGTTGCTCCTGCTGGGAATACTTTTCCTGAAAAAAGCTTATTATCCTTCAAGAATCCACTCAAATATCACTTCCTCATGAAACTTGCTGTGACTTGTATGGATAATTGCAGCTATATTCTCCTTTCATTTTTAACAACACTTGGCTTATCGTTGGCTCACACATTGAACTGTGAACACTGTTCATCCTCAGAGCTAAGTCAGATTCATCTTGAGAACCTAGTGAAATAGCCTAGCATGTTAGCCTAGCATGTCTTGGCTAACTTATAACTTAACACTAACACATTGAACAGAATGTATATACCATTTCTATACTTCGTAAAACAAAAACTTAATTAAATAAACCATAAACATAAGTTTGCACCCCCACCCTAAATCAATTAATTTTTTTTAAGAATAGGAACACTTATTCATTATTAGATGGCCACTAATATTGGACTAATGGGTCATACGAGTCTCAATAAATATTTTTAAGTAAAGTGGTGCTTATTAGTTGTGTTTAATAGATAATGAAGTTCAGAAAACATGTTCAAATTTTACTATATGTGGTAAGATAATAAACTAAAATAAATGGTAAACTTTCAAAATTGAGACTAAAAAACAATTGATGAAATTTCTCAGTGTTTTGCTTTAACACTGGTCTAAATTTTGGAGCAGATATGTTTGTCATGAAGAGCACTATAAATCATATGCAAATAAAATCTGATTTTTTTCTTTCTAGTTTGAAATATCACTTAACCCATATAATGTAGTATTATGTTTCAGTGATTTTTTTTTTGTTGAATAACTACAAAATTAACTTATTAAAAGTGATTTTTAAATCAATTACTTACAAAAGATAATTACTATATATACATCTATTTTAAAAACCATTCTATCTGAACAAGTTTTAAAAATATCTGTAAATAAAAGAGAGATATAGCTCTTGTAAGAAGAGATCTGCAATAGCATATAAACATTTTGAGACTGCCAGAAATTTGTAAATAAATCTGAATACAAGTAACAACTTTAAAATCAGTACACTAACAAAGAACTGAGTTTTGGAAAAAGAGACTATTTTTAAAGTCAAAAAATATGTAGTTATAGACACTACAACCTGAGTCAACAAGTATGCTGATTTTATTTTTAAAATTTTAAACAGAGAGCCATTTCTCTCCATGGAACAATAGAGAGGAACCATACTTTACAAGTCTGATAAAGAAATAGGGCAACCACCCAAAAGCAAATCAAGACTTATTGAATCCTATAGTCAACCAACATTTATCACAGAAATTATTATTTTCCATCTCAGTCTCTATTTTAAGTATGTGGTTAAAAATGAATGCTTGACAAAATAGAAAGGCTCATAGGTGAAGAGCAGGCTGACAGCTCTGTGGGGGTGGATGTGAAGGAGCGGAAGGATCCAGCAAAAATGAGAAAGGACTCACGGGCATGGACAACAGCGTGGTGATTGCGGGCATGGTGATAAGAGGGATAAATGGTAATAAAAAATACAATAAAAATTAAAAATGAACTCTTGAAATTGTTAAAATGCATGGTAGTCAAGTCAGGGTGAAATAAAGTTCTGGAAGTCTTCTATAACCTCAAAAGGCTGATGGTAAGTTTTCAGCTTACTTCTGAAAAATAGAGCCAAAAAGATGTAAATATTGATAATGGCTGAAGATTGTGGAAAGTGACTGAGTGGGTATGTTTGTCTACCTCAAAACCTTACTTTAAACTAAGCATAAAAACAACTGGCAAGTCTCAAGGCTAGAAAGTACATCTTGGGTTAAGTAAAGTCTAAACTTATAATATGGCAACAATAGAGATTCCAAAAAGCAATGTCTCCTTATTACCAGTTAAATATTTTCAGGAACCAGAAGTTCCCTTCATTATGAATTACGCTTTCCACACACTTTCCATACGCTTTCTTTAATTGTTAGAAAGTTTTTAGGTTCTCTCTTATCAAGCTGCCCTATGCCTCCTAATCCTCTCCAAAAATGTGTTCCTGTCTTTTTTGGACTACACACACACAAAATATTTATCTCTTACACATGATAACCCTTAAATAGTTGTTATTTTAAGAAAACTGTTTTGCAGCGCATATAACAAAACATTTTACAAACTTTTGAACTCAATTTTCTATATTAAGCTAAGTGTTGCACGTGCCAATTATGCACCTAGAATTGCAAAGCTCTTGAGAGTGAAACTTACAACCTGGATCTAAAGATTCATGGGATGCACAACAGAAGAATGACAAATGTCGGCGCTGAATTAGCCAAATGCCAAAACCCGCACAAGATGCTTGGGAAAAGGACAGCTTAGCAAATAAAAGAGGTCCTTGTAAAACATCACAATGAAAAGGAAGCCCACTGTATGGGAGAACATATTTGCCAACAACACACCTCATACACCAAAATACATAATTTCCAAAATACAGAAAGAACTTATACAACTCAACACCAGGAAGACAAATAATCCAATTAAAAAATGGGTAAAGAACCTGAATAGACACTTCTCCAGAAAGGACATACAGCTGGCCAATAGACATATGCAAAAATGCTCAATATCATTAATTATCACTGAGGTGCAAAATGAAACCATAATGAGATATCACCTCATACTTGCCATAAAGACTACCATCAATAAATCAATAAACAAATGCTGGTAAGGATGTGGAGAAAAGGGAATCCTGGTAATCTGTTGGTAGGAATGCAGACTGATAGAGCCACTGTGGAAAACAGTGTGAGTTTCCTCAAAAAAATTAAAAATGGAACCGCTTTTTGACCCTGTGATTCAACTTCTAGAAATAAATCCTAAAAATTTCAAAACACCAATTCGAAAGAGTATATGCACAACTATGTTTGTAGCAGCATTATTTACAATAGCCAAGACCTGGAAACAGCCCCAAGTGCCCCTCAGTAGATGAGCGGATAAAAAAGCTGTGGTACATTTACACAGTGAAATACTCCATGGAAGTGAAAAAGAAGGACCTCTTACCTTTTGCTACAGCATGGATGGACCTAGAGAGCATGATGCTAAGTGAAATAAGCCAGTCAGTGAAAGATAAATAGTATATGACCTCACTTACATGTGGAATCTAATGAACGAAAGAAACTAATGAACAAAATAGAAACAGAGGCTTGGATACGTGGAACACAGCTGTTAAGGGGAGTGGGAAGGTAGAGAATGGAAGAAATAAGGGGAAAGGATTAGCCAAAATCATAAATGCATAACCCATGGACACAGTCATTGGTGTGGTGATGGCCTAAGGGAGGGGGAAGGAAGGGCTGAGTAGAGGTAGGAAAAAGTGGAGACAGTGATAATAGCATAAACAATAAAAATAAAGAAAAAAAGAAATTGATCTCATAATCAATCAAGTTACAGGAACAGAATATTCACTCTTTTATAGAGAAGACACATAACCTGTGTAAACACTCAGAAACTTCATTTCTTTAATATGACCTTTTTTCCCTTTCTTCCTTTTGACTCAAACTGGCCTAATCCAGCACCCTGACCCACCCATCTCCTTCTCCCTTGCATCTCCACTACCTTAATCGATGAGGCCTCAGGATGAGGCTCTGGTCAGTATCAAATAATCTGAGGAACAAAGTGTTGGGTCTGTTAACCACAGACACAGAATTTCAGTGAAACTGAAGATTACATCTTGGCCTCATTTGGGTTCCAGCTCCAGACACAGAAAAACAGAACACCACCACAGACCACATCCTTGTAAAACCAGAAGAAATAATGCCATGGCTGACATCAGGACCAGATGCAGTGATCCACCGCCCCCTGCCCGAGCCCCCAACCAATCACTAGAGACCACAACCCTAACCGTGACCTTAAGTCCTTTAGTCTCCATGAGTGATGATTTTTTCTCCCCCTGTATAACCCATCCCTTAAACGCCATAAGGGAGACAAGTCTTAGAGAAGTTGTTCACCTGTATCTCTGGCCTTGGTGCATTTTCCTTAAATAAATCTTTACTTTCTTTGTTGCAAACTCCTGTTCGAGTTTGATTGGGTTTTGATGCACAAAGACAAAGGAACCCCTTTAGTTCAGTTACACCTGTGATAGTTAACATATGCCAGGAAGGAAGGCTTTTCTTGAGAAGAACTGAATGCACACTAGTGAGAACCATCACAGTTGTCATTGCCATTCATTTGAAGAAGTTAAGGGACCTGAATTTCAAATAGAAAGGGCAGTGCTATTCTAGGCAGAGAGTGTATTAGAGAGTGTTTTCTAGAGTGACAGCAGGAAAACCAGCTTGACTGAGATAATTGGCACAGGAAAGATCAGGAAATAATGAATTTTTGAAAAAGCTAGAAAAATATTTAGGTCATCACCCTGAAGTGTTTGTGAGTGTCAAAACTAAATGTTCATGTGGAAATATAAACAATTGTTTATGTATTTGGCCCTTGGAAGTATACAGTGATGGATTAAAGTTCAAACAAACAAACCCCTTCATGTCGCCATGTGGTTTTCCATCAGAATTTATAACATCCTCATCTTTACTTCTTCTTGAGCAGACCCAGGCTATCCATAGCCTGGGGCATAGATCCCTGCATTTCAGATTTGGCATTTCATTTCTTTGGGTCACGATCACTATGTTTATAGACATTGTCCTTTAGCACGAAAAGACAAAGTTAATACCTTATAGTTCTGTTCTCCGTATTTTCCGTCTCTCCAAATAGTACTTAATCCACCAAACTTCTGTATTTCTGTGAAATCTCCTACTTTTATCCTTTAATCTGGGCAGATTTTAACTGATTTCCACTTCTTATGATAGTTATACTTTCTTTTATGGGGAAAGTTTTCATACCATAGAAACTCTTATGAGACTATAATAATCCTTTAATTGATGTCATGTAAGATTTTGACCATGTCTCGTTCTAGTTTTCATAGTAACTTGCCTAGACAATCAACATTTGTGGAATAAATCAGCAGATATAATTATTGCTTGACAGCGTAATTGTGGTTTTGAACCATTCATATTTTACTTATACAGGAGTAGCAAATCACCCAAGATTATAGAGTAATGGCAATATTAATTCTGTTTCTCAGTTAATGTTGTTCCCATTGTTTAGTAGGGTTTTTTTTTAACCTATATTGAAAGAATTACCTTAAATCAGCCTATTGATGACCAATGTTGTGGCTAGACCAGCCACTTTTCAAAGGAAACTTAGAAAAAACAAGTATATAACTTGTTTTTAAAAAACAAAAACTTCATGGCACACCAGGGGTTACACAGCATGGTCACAGGGTAGGGTAGGGTGGGGACGGAGTCAGAGGGAGGAAAGCTCTCTCAGGGGCCTTGAAGTCAGGATGGCAAGGCCTAGGCTTTCACAGGCTCACTCTTTATCCATGATTTTAAAACATAAGAGCAGGAGTTTATAGAACAAGGAGTGGGAGGAAGCAGCTTGGCTCCTTTTTCTAGTCTTATGGCTGGCAATACATTTATGAAACAGCCATCTTTGAAGTGAATGTCTCAGCAAACACACCTTAAGTCAAGCACTTGCATTGCAAAAAGAAAAACCAATGATCAATAAATGCACTAATTACACAACAATGTTCAAAATGGTTTACAGCCTGGAGTGTAGTTTGCAAAGGTTTTGGGAAACTACTTTATGACATTTGAAAAACAATTCTTCACCAGATAGGTTCTAGAATTAACCTTGGAAAAGGATTGCAGAGTATAGCAAAAGACATGTTCAAGAGTCGTTGTTTGAGCATATCGTTAGAACCTAGGGGGAAATTTTGTTCCCCATTAAGAGGGCCTCAAAACCAATTTACCTTGAACCCAACTGTTTTAGTCAGTTTGAACCTTTTCAGCATGTTCAAGTCATAGTGATCTAAATCTATACTCCCGAAACAAATGGAGGCCCTTGAGGATGCCACCATGTCTGAGACAGAGATCAAGTAAAATGGACGGTGAAACCTGGACTCCTGCTTCCGAGCTTTGTGTTATTGATGTACTGGGGACTAAATTGAGTTGGGCTCCCAAACACTAAACAATCATATTGCAAGCTTTTTTTGTATAAAATTTTGATCTGGAAATAAACAAATTTTACTCCAAGATTTTCTTTAAATGATATCTTATATTTATATTTTATTTCTAGAAAATTGCACTCACCTGCATCTGTTGCAACCACTGAAACATTGTACTGGCCATTTTTTACAAATTTTGATTCTCTATCTAGTACTTTTATAGTTTTCAAGTCACCAGTTCGTTCATTAATTTCAAACCAGTCATCTTCATCTCCTATCTTCTTATACCTAATTTTAAGAAATCAGTGTAAATGATCAAACCTAAAAGTGGATATAATCTCAAAATTTGTCATTTTAAAAAATACATAGAACTTTCCTAAATTTGAAATCAATTTACATCACAATTAAAAATAAGGAACTTTCTGAAAAATACATTACCTTAAGCCTTCACTACTGCGCGTTTCTGGGTCCATTGCTTTGTATCCAAGGAGTTCTTGGCCAGCTGGGAGGCCATCTTTACTCTGAATAACTTTTACTGGTGGTTGGCATTCAGGACCCTCATCACTGTCTTTAACTTTAACGGTGACAGTCGTAGTGCACATAGTAGGAGGTTGTGAGTTTGGTGAATTAGAGAATTGTGCTTCGTTAACCACACCAATTTTCAAAATGATTTGATGGTGGGCTTCATAATTCAATGACTGTTAAATAACATACTTTAATTAGACAATGTGTCACACCAAACATAGAAGACTTATAATCATAATCCAAGCTTTAGCACAAAAGGGATATCTATTTTTGTATAAAATGTTACCCAAAGAAAGTGCTAACATAGTTAAAGACTCATAATTAGCTTCTTATGATGACAAAAACTAGCAAGTGCAAAACTGTGGTTTTTAAAGCTTAACGAATTTTTCACTTAGCATAATTATCTCCAGGTCCATCTATGTTGCAAAAGGCAAGATTTCCTTCCTCTTTACAGCCAAGTAGTATTTCACTGCGTAAGTGTACCACAGTTTTCGACCTACTCATCTACAGATGTTAGCTATTATAAAAAATGCTGCAACGAACAAAGGGGTGCATGTATTTTTTCAAATTAGTGTTTCAGGATGTTTAGGATATATCCCCAGAAATGGGGTCACAAAGTGAAAAGGTAGTTTAATTTTTAATTTTGGGGGGAAACTCAAGGGTGGTGATGGCCAGGGGGAAAGGGAGAAGCAGGTGGGCGTGGGTGGAGGTAGGCAAAGGGCAGGGAATGGGGACGGAAAGAGACTTTGGGGAAATGGGTGCGTGATGCAGTGTGTAGATGGTGTTTTATTGAGTTGTACACTTGAAACCTGTATAATTTTGCAAATCAATGTCACCTAAATAAATTCAGATTGAAAAAAAAGAAAAGGGGACATCGGTGGATAAACTATGAAATCTGAAGAGTCTGTGGTTTGGCTCATAGTACTATATACCAATGTTAAATTCTTTGAGCAACTGTACCATGGTTGTATAAGATGTTAACATCAGGGGAAGCTGAACAAAGGGTCTATGGGAATTAACTTTGTACTATTTTTGCAATTTTCCCATTAATCTAAAATTCATGCAAAATACAAGTTTAGTTTAAAAAGCCAAAAGAATTAAAATAAAATAAAATTTAATCATTTTTTTCTTCTCACTTTTATTTGGGAAGTTCCTGTGTTCATTTTTTTTGCGTTATTACTTTAAATATTAATAGTAATACAGAATTAAGGTTTAATTTACTCCAATTCAAATAAATTACTATACTTATCAAATGGTATAACAGTGATAACCAAAACAGCAAAAGTCCCCTCCAAAGCTATCATTAGATAGGCTCCTAGCATATGACACTTGGCTATAATGGAGCGGTTATCTGTATACACGAGTCAAAAGATATAATGACATTATTAAGCAGCACCTTTGAAAGCACATTATATTTGGTTTGCTTTGTTTCTAATTCAAATGTTCGGTCCTGAACTGAATAATCAGAAAGAATCCTAAACAATACTTAAGTAATTAGAGACTGAAGTCTATCAAGAAAACAAAAAATGAAAACGAGAGAAAGAAACCTAGAAGAAGAAGGAAGAGGAGGAGGAGGGGTGGGGGGAGAAGAGAGGTGGGAGAGGAGGTGGAGGAGGAGGAGGCGGGAAAGAGTAAGAGAAAGAACAGGCAATATAATAATTAAAGGACATTTTCTATAAACCTTATAAGGGAAGCACAATTTGTACATAAAGCTTCTAAGAAAATGCAGTCTATAAAAAATTAACAGTGGAAGTATGTAACAGGTTAGTGTGAGCGATGGGAGAAGAACTTACGACCAGGTTCAGTTAAAATAATTCTTTTAGGTGCCAGTAATTGCAATCGAATTTTTAAAATCCTAAAGCCCTGGATACCTCAAAATATAGGGTGATTAATACGCATAGCTGCTTTATATTTAGTAAATTGTCTTATAAAATGGACTACAGAGAGGCAAACGTATAATATGAGCATGAAGGGAATTGAAAAGTCAGGAAGTTTGATTTCAGATGGTGATTCTTTCATTTTTCTCTCTCTCGTTTTCTGTAAAATAAGGGTTTTGGCCCTGGCCAGGTATGGTTCAGTTGACCTTTAGGTCCTGTAGACCTGAAGGTCATGGGTTTGATTCCCAGTCAGGACACACACCTGGGTTATAGGTTCAGTCCCCTGGATGATGCGCATATGAGAGGCAGCCTATCAGTGTTTCTTTATCACATCCATGTTTCTCTCCCTCTCCCTCTCCCTTCTTCCCCCTCTCTCTAAAATGAGTAAGCATGTCCTTGGGTGAGGATAAAATAAATAAATACATAAATAAAATAAAATAAAATAAAATAAAATAAAATAAAATAAAATAAAAAAGTAAGGGTTTTGGATAAGTGGGTGTCTAAGAATGGCCCTCAGGCTAATATCTAATTACTAATTCAATATTTCTCTGCCTTGGTTTGTCGCACTATAGAACAGTGAGTTTTGTACCTACTTTGCTTTTCCTCTAAGAGAGAAAATAAAATCATAATAATAATAAATTTTTTAAACCAATGTAATCATTTCAGCAATACATTGTAATTCTCTGGTCATGTACATACAGAAATTTATATACATACATGTACATATATAAATACCTATATATCAATTAAGTTAGAAATTTACATACCAATTGTTAGAATTTTTTAAAGTATTGCTTGACTTTTTTTTGTTTACCTTGACAACACACAAGACTCCTTCATTTGTATTTGGGTCTGTGCTAATTTTAAAGTTTCCATTTTCATTTCCTTGTAGGATTTTGTATACAGCCTTTGAGTGAGGAGTAAATGGCGAATCCACGTCATGTACAGCCATTCGTAAAATCTCGACATCGATTCTGTTTTCTTCTACTTCTGTAAAATACTAAAAAAAAAAGAAGTCTCTCATTGTTATAAATGTATAGCTTTAACAATATGATCTTTTTCTTCTAAAACATACTTAAAGTAAAAGAAAGCAAAGTAAAACAGAAACGTACAATCATATGTTGGGAAGAATTTATAACTGTAATGCAGAGTTTACTTCTTTCCTCACTACTTTTTCAAATCTTATCCATCTTTGAAAAACCAACTTATGTCTTAACTTTGCAACTCCTCTGACAATTTTCCTTTACATGCAGCCCTCACATTTGCCTCTATTCTGATTCTATAATATTTACAGTATATCACCCTTTTTAGATATAGCAAACACTTCTATTAATACATTTAGCCTTTAATATTCATAGATAATTACAACCAACATTCATTTCTTATTATTACTGGATGATCTGCTGTTTTTAAATTGCATTGGATGATCAATGCCAATTTTTTAAAAAAATTACTATTGATTCTTTAGCAAACACTTTAGAGTTTTTCCTTTTTTTTTGAGAAATTAAATCATAATTTCCCCATCTCAAAAAATAATAATAATAATAAGGTTATGGGAGCCCATGATTTTAAAGACTAAAAACTGTAGTAAATCAGAATCTTCTAGAAACGCAAGATGAATTCATAGAAGGATGACAGCCTGGTAGCCACTGGAGCATAAAAGAGCTTGAGTCTAATCCCAGTTTTTCCTCTTACATGTTATATATGTGAGACCATAAGCAAGTCACTTAACTGACCTTCCATTTCCTCATATAAAATATGGAATAATACCTATCGTTACAAGTTACAGCGATTAGTATAAAATTGCATGGATGGGTTTATCACTGTAGGTTTTCCTTTCTTTCACTTATACTATGGTATAAATTAATGAAAAAATGAAGATTACTTACTGAAAGGTCAAGAAAGAAGAACTATTTCCTGGAATTTTCCTGCTATCTATATTTCGTGTATTGTGCAGTTTCCAAAGGAAAGTTTGCTCATACGCAACACAGGAAGAGCCTGCGTATCGACGGCAGTGGGCAGCCTGTACTACTGATTCCCTAGCAGAGTGAAGGATATAAAGCTAGTCTTTTTTCATCTTAAGATGTTGAAGTATAAATGACATCACAGATAGGGCATCTACTCCTTCATTCTATAAAAGCCATTTAAATCCAAGGAATCTGATATCATAATTTGCCATCCAAGAATACAATGAATACATGAACATCTTCAAAGACTAGGAAGCTTGTATATGGCCAAGAGGATAGTTATTTCCCTAGCATCCAGAAATAACTGGCACTTCAATGATTTTTATAGAAATTGTACTTTTTTGTCTGTTATTCATAAGCAGTAGCTATTAAAGCCAGAATGTGCAATCTCGCAGAGCTACCAAATTCCAGATTTGCTTATAAAAAAAAGTAAAAGAACTTAAATAAGTGAATACAGAAATATACTCACAGCAGTTTCTGTAAAATATGGTGCATTGTCATTTTCATCTTCGAGTGAAATAGTAATTGTTCCTGTACTAAACAAACCAAAAGGTTGGCCCCCCATGTCTCGTACTTCCATTATTAACTGGTATGTATCACATTTCTGAATAAAAGGAAAAAGGGAACAATGATGATTTTTTTTTTTCCAGAAAACCAGCATAAGTAAGAATAGAAGAAGAGATTGGTCAGTCAGGACAATGGAGAACTGGTGTGTCTAAGATAACATTTCAAAATTTAAAAGCTATCTTTTTCTATTTCAAAATCCACACATTGAATCAAGTCAATGATCTCAATGAGACATCATCTAATATCTTGTACCTTCCCAAATTCTCTGTACAGACAAAGCAAGTATCCAGAGAAGCCCTAACCACAGCACCTATGGAAGCATGCTTGGAGAGGAGGCCACCAAGGGCCTGCTATAATTTCTCTGGGAGTTTTTAGCAGTTTAAATATAATTTAGTGGCTGGGAAATTAACAAGTCAATTTATTACTTCTCTATCCAATAAAAGTGACGTTGTGGAGATGACGCCTGTGTCTGGGTGTACGGAGAAATGTTTTGGGTGGTCTGGAATTTGCTGTAAGATTTTAAATTTCAGACGAGTATGTAGAGTGTCAGGTTCATCGAGGTCTATGGCGGTCACTTTTCCCACTGACGTTCCTGTTTCAAGAAATCCAATATTGTCAACAATTTAAAATAATAATATTACAAAAAATAAATAAATGAAGCATTGCTGTAGCACATTCTCCCCAAAAACCACAAGTATAGTAAGTGGAAGAATATAAATACTCTCCAAAATGCTAAGCTTCTCTTACTTTGAAACTTCATTTAAGTGTTAACTGTGAACACCACGATTTATATTCTACATATATGAGGACGTTCACCTCACCCTTGGTAACAGTGATTCTAAAATTCTTGCCCCCGCAAACCACTACCCCAGGTTACGAATCACTTTTGGATGGGACCGTCTCTGTATATCTTGTTTCTTTTATAGCTCAACTTGAAAATGTTATTAGAGGACTAGTACAGCTTGCCATATGATAAAGATTTTATGCTTTTATATTTTAATAAGTGTGCTGAATTATTAACATACACAGTAATTGTTAATAGATGTTAGACACAAACATTATGCCTCAGTCTGAGTATCAAGGGTCAGGCTTTATGGCCCAGAAGTCAGTTCACTGAATGCTGCTTTAACAAACCACTTACTGTGGGAGAACAATAAACATACACATGTAATGGCAACAGATTAGAGGATCAAAGAACCAACAACATTTCTTGCAGATTCTTTTAAAAGCTAGTCAGTCTTGTTATGCCCCTGAGTATACCAAGATCACAATTTTGACTGCCCACAACATCAAACAAGTTTAACTTGTTTTTTCAGTTTGTTTGGAAAAATATGCCAAGTGAAGCAAGGTGTATGTTGTTATAAGTCAGATTAACATTTTCATACTGTGATATTTTTTGAGTCCTTGAAAATGTGTTGAGACTTTATAAATATTCTTATTATTCATTGCTTTATAAATACGTCAGTGACTCATGAACGAATCAGAAAATATAAAATCATTTGTCATACATTCATATTCATTGTGAATTGATCTAACAAAGTAACTTTATGTATTAGCTGCCTTCTATATATGCATAGCAAAATGAGCACAAAAAGTTTGCATATGAAGAGTATATGATCTTATAAGACTACAAAGTTTTATGTAGAATACTCTTGAAAGTCAAGTATTTAAATGTGTTTAGCCTAACCGTGTTTAAAACAAGAAATAAGTAATTGAATTGAAGCAAAAATCCAGTGTTTTTCTAAAATGTGAACTTACCAATTCGGCAATTTTCAGGCACATTAAAGATAGTCACTTTGGATTCAAAATAGGGGGCATTATCGTTATCATCTTCCACTTTGAATAATAAGGGGAGTGGGTATTCTGGTGCATAACCATCTGCAGTTGTAGCATAGGCATATATCTGAAAGGTAAACAAACACCCTCAGCTCATTCTTAAATAACAACTTATGCACAACTTTAAACCTAGTGATTAGGCAAAAACACACTGTTTGAAAGGTACATATGTGTAACTAAGAACTTATGCAACAAATAGACAACAAATCAGCACAGTCAACGCCTGCCGTATGGCTTCAAGCTTCTTTCAGCATTCCCATTATTCTCCCAAGTACCATGCACTCCAGCTGAATGAGGCTATTCTACTCCCTGTATTAACTGCATGCTGTTCTGCTTGTTAGAATGCACGTAGACTTCTGCCAGTTATGCTAATAACAAGGATTTTTGTAAATTTATAAAAATGTAATTCTTTTTCCTTGCCTTTGATATGTCATCTACCTCTGGGTGATTTGTTCATCCTTTTTTTTTTTCTCTATGTACCTGCATTTTCTTATTTTTTACCATAAGCATGCATTTCTTGCATAATAAAAGTGCTAATAACATATACATATTCCAAATTCCATTTCAAAATGACATATCTTGACCTCAAGTGAAACTATTTAATGTCCTTTCCCTTTAAACACCATCAAATTATTTCTGCACTCTTCTTATGTGGTTTATGTATGGTTAAGTGTTCAATGAATGGTTGTTGACTTAAACAGATTTTCTTCACTGACAGGACCAGCTAAACCTGCCCAAGGTGAAATCTGTATTAATTCCATTCTTCACCACACAACCAGCTCTTTCTGATTTCCCTACTGTAGCCATCTTCTAAAATGATCCAGAATTAAGATTCCAGGTATCTAACTCCTCCCTCTCTTTCATTAGCCTTTTTAATCTGTTGCCAAGTTCTAGCAATTATGGCATTTTTATGTCTCTATCATCTATCTTTTCTTTTCTGTTCCCAACGCCATCATCCTTATGTGACTCCAGATGTATCCGATCAACTTTCATGTTGCATTCTACCCACTTTTCTGCAATTGTTCTAAGTTACCTTCTCCAATCTATGTGCAACTCAAAAGTCAGATCATTCCCGTAAAACATAACCTCAGTCATGACATTCGCCTTTCAGTGATCTGCCTGTCTTCAACCAAAATAACAAAACCCTCATTATTGTGTTAAAGGGCAGTTTATCTTCACTGCTCTTGTTAACATAGAGAAGGAATTTCCAGTCCAAACTCTAGGATGGGAAATTTTGAAATAACCATCCATGTTCTCTCTGTCCCCTTCTTCACTTTTTCCCAAACCACCTCCAATTGGGCTTTTTGAGTTATAAAATTTATATTTTGATGTCCAACAGTCTGATCCTTATATCTTATTTCTCAATAAATTCTGAACTCAGGAGTGTAATAGAAGCCTTCACCGCCACTACCCTCATCACCATCATCATCACCATCATCATCATCACCTCACATTCAAATGTCACCCTGTTTAGCCTCCTTTCCTCTCCCCTTATATGTGATATGAGTTTTTTTCTTTAAACTGCTGCCATTTTGAGAGTTTTGGCTAGAGAAAATTATGAAATTGTTTTATGTCTCTATTAGGTTACGATTGTTCTCAGGGATAGAGCCCGAGTCTTACAGATATTTGCGTGTCTAAGCACCTAACATGGAACCTTACATTGGATAATTCTTTAATAATTAACTTTTGTACTCAGTTCTATTCATTTTTTTTCCTTCTAAGAAGGCAAATGACCCCTTAAGTTTGCCATCTATAAAAAATATCATGAACATTCTATAGACTTATAATGAATTCTTTTATCTAATCACATTGGCATTAAGATATTTCTATATCCAACCTAAGTCCATTCTGCTATAATTTACACACTAATTTTTGCTGGTTTTTCTCTTCAGTGAAAATGATCATCTGCTTCCCACCATTCAATTACTTGTAGTTTTAAATAATAATATTCCCTGATAGTGAATTACATGTAAATATTATTTCACATTCCACTGATTCAGATATGGTGATTTTGTTTTCGACACTACTTCAGGTACCAGTTTTACTTATTCTTATAAATGAGCTTAATATCTTTAAAATAAATCAAAACTAAAATTTGTATTGTGAAGAGGATAATTAAAACTAGAAATGTAGCTAACCTTTAAAGTATAGCCTAGCTTCCTAGGAGAATCTACTGTGTTCATATAATAAACAAATTATAATTTTTTAAAATTCAGTCATTAAAGTAACAATTTCAAAAAACTTGAAAGTAAAGGCTTAATAGTCTATTCCTATTATTCTATCTTAAAAACAACAATAAATTTATTAAATATTGTTATAGTAATTAAGTATAAATAGACTATTATACTTTAGAATGTCATATTTTTAGCTGTTGAAAGAGTATTAATTAAATCTCATGTGTACAGTACTGTGATATCATTTTCCCTTTGAATTCTACCATAGCTTGAAGATCCTTGTCTCTTTTAACCTTTTCACACTGTAATTTGCTCTTAGCTTTGAAATTGCTCTCATCTTTGGGAATATGCAAAAAGTTGGTAACAGGAGTTTAGACTTGAATTTGACCTTGCAGAGAGGGGCATTTGATATCCAGTGTAGGTTTACAGTTTTAATACAAATTAATAATACAATAATCAGTATAAATAATACAAAAGGAAACTATGTTTTAGGTACTCACCACTGTATTGTGTGCCAACTATAGTAAAAACAAAAATTGCAGAAAGAAGAAGACTGTTTGCAGTTGCTTTCTTTCATAGAATGAGTTGGAATTGTTGAAAATAATTTTTTGTATACAACCCTTTTTAAAAAAAACTTGAACAAAAATGGCTTTATATTAATCCCTAAAAGATTGATGAGTTGAATAGTTTAAGATAAACTTCTTCAAGTGCAAAACTTGTGTGACTCACCCAGAAAAATCTTCACAAGACAAAATGAAACAATACAACGTGGCGCAAGCAAGAGAACAAGAGTACAGTAATAGTATGTATTGAATTTGAACCATGACTGCTGTTTCCAATAATCAATGAAATCAATTACTTCAAATAACAATAATTATTAATATTTAACATTCATGTATGATAGATAAAAGCAAAGATTTGATAAATCCAATCAAAATCCTCAGTTTTAAGAATAAAATTCTGGAGCATGTGCATTATTTGATTTATCATTAGGATATTTTTAAGACCTTTACAGTATATGTAGTGATTTTGCCCAGATTATGGTATTTAATGATCACAACAGCTTTGAGGCAGGTAAGACAAATATTAACAGCCCATAAAATAGAGGAAAAACTGACTTTTGAAGTTGTTACCTGTCCAAGACTAAAAGGAAGAGTGGTAGGTACTGAAGAACAACTAATTTCAAGAAAAACAAGCTTTTCAGTGTAAAACAATAAGCAAAAAATTGATTTGCTAGAAAAGCAAAGACATGATTTTAATTGTAACCTGTACATTGACAGAGGATGTTCCTATTCCATATTTACTCAAATAATTTTATAACTTGAATCATGTTTACTTCTGGTTGTTATACTTCCCTTTATGAATTTTCCCAATATTTCATTGTTAATTCAATCTTAACCATGTTAATGGATACTAGAAAAAACATGACTAATTCTGAGAATTGTTCAAAAGCCCAACTTTGAGTATTAATTCCAAACTATTGTACTCCTTTGTCTTTTAAAGTATGTCAAAAAAACAGCAAAGTAGCTGATTTTAATTTTAAACTAATCTGTCCTTATTCCCTCTGGCAATGTTCCCAATAAAAAGTCAAGATAGAGAACAGGTTGGCCAGTGAGAAGTAGCTGAAGACCAAAAAAATCCTTAAACAAGAGTAACATCCATAAACAGGATGTTATCTGCACAATTAGAAAATGAAATGTAAATCACAAAATATAGAGCAGGCAGCTTTTTCTTTCTCCACAAGCATGACTGCTAGTGTTAGATCTTTTTGTGAAGGAAATATAAAAGCAGCAGAGAACTTATATATTTATATATATACATGCATATGCATGTATATATATAAATATACATAATGTATGTATTTATCAATTATGTATTTGGCTTCTTGACAGAAAGATCAAAATGTTCGCAAACCATTTTACTGAATTATAAAATCCCTAAAATGAAACATTGCTGCTGTTTAAAAAATTTCAATACCTTTTACAGTGCTCTGATATCCTTAGGATATGGTCCTTAGTGTGGATTATAAGGTCCTTCACAGCCTATTCTTTTCTTACCACTCTAGCCTCCAATTTCACACTCTTCCTCAGCTTCAACACACTCCAGCCCAGATTTTTTTTTTGTTCTTATTGATTTCTACTTAACAAATGGGTCTTTCTATTGTTGATACCTGGGTTTATAACACTTAGCTACTGCTTTCTCCCCTGCCCCATTCTTAAGTCCGTTCAAGCATGTCTACGTAGCCACCAACTCCTACTCATCTTTCAGATGTCTACTAAGATTTTACTTTCTGGACTGCCCAAGTATGAGATAAATTTCCCTTTTATGTGCTCACAAAGAATTTCTTTACTACACTCTTATAATTCAAAATACCAACCGTGTAAATAGTTTCATTCTCTATCACCCTGAAATTGTGATTTTCTCTTACATGTCCATGAGAACATTAAGGATACAAGTGAAGTTGAATCAGAAAAGAGAAGATTTAATTATCAGAAAAGTTAGAATTTTTCTTTGAGCAAAGATTAGATAGAATAAAATGAATTGGTAAGCTTACTCTGGATTGCTAAAGAAATAGAATGATAGTCAAGATTCTTGTTGCTGAAGACACTCAGAGGGGAAGAAAGCACAATACTTCTGAAGAGGCTGGAGCAGCAGCTCTCAGCCTTACTTTGGCTACGTTTAGAATCACCTTGGATGACTTCAAATTTTCAGTTGACTGGGCCCCATCTCAGAACAATTTAATTGGAATTTCTGGGCATAGACCAGAACATTAGTATTTTTTTTAAAGTTCTTACGTCATTTCTAATGTACAGGCAGGGTTGAGAGTAATTGAATTATATTATTATATAGAACTTTGAAGTCAATAAAATTCACTCCTGCTGTCCCAGGAGTCTAAAAATTAAAACTTGTCCTTTAAAATTCTGTCATTATATTTTCCATAGCTATCCTCCAATTTTCTTCCCTTATATCTATTGTCTTTCTTTACCAATGGCATCAATAGAAATTGAAGTTTATATCACATATTGATAATATTTAAAATATGAAATCAAATGTATGATTCTTCTAATACATAAACAACACTGAAAATATTAAACCAGTGATAAACATAATTCTGTATAAGCAATCCAAAAATCTCACCGGAAACTCTTGATATTGCTCACGATCTATGCTTCGTGTACAAAAAATATCCCCACTATCTTTATCTATGAAGAACAAATTGAAGGGCTCTTTGTCCACTCCTGGTCCACTTATGGAGTAAAAGATGGTGTAGTTCTGTGCAGCATCAGATTGGACCTATAATAACAAGTGTCAATTTAGAATAAAACATATCTTCAACCCAACATCTTGTGATAGTTTATTTTTTATCACTTGCTTTTTTTCCCCCTACTAACCTATTCTTTCTTTTCTCTGTTTATCTAATCAATATGCCCATATTTTTAAAATATTTGTTCATAGTCTGACTGTGCAAAACCTCAAGCTCTATCATTTATTTGAGCTCACATTCTTTTGTGTTGTCTCCATATTTATGGAATACTCATGGAGTTAAACATAATTTTACAATTCTTATTCACTAGTTTTTATTCCTACATGAGTTATAGCAACAGTTTCAGTAATTTTGAGTTATTTAGAATTGAAAGTATTTGTGATTTAAAAAATGTGGAAATAATGCAACTTTACTCCCATAATTCATTCTTCAATAATCTCATAATTTCAAAGCTGGCTTATGTTTACACTACAGTTATGTGGCAGTGACACCACCTTTTTGTAAACAGAAATATTGGACTCTTTTTTGGTGAAGATATGTGATAAATGGAGAGTTGAATTATGTAAAATCTGTAAGCATGTCTTCTGTACTTGAACGCTAAAGTCTGGTAGGATATTTAGGAAAATCAGGGTACAGACTTAAAACCATCAGAAATTCAAAATATCAAACGTTTTCTAAGTGCTAAATATGGTTTCTAGAGGAAAGTAACAAGTTACACTGAGTTACTTTTATGAGACCCTATTTCTGGTGAATACATGATCCTTTTAAGTAACAACAGTTTAAAATACTGTTGCAACTCAAGTGGAAATTTTAAAACAGCAGCAGCAACAACAACAACAACAACAACAATAACAAACCCTCCAACATGTAAAATCGAACAAGATGAAAAGTACCTGCTGCACATGTTGTGGAAATGGACCTAATGAGTTCTCCATCAGTGAACATGGAATAGGAGCCCATCGTCTCTTGTTGCGCTGGAGGACTGTGTCTTTGGCACGTTTCTTTTTAGAAACCTGCATTTGTTGAGAAAGGAAAAAATACAGCATTGCTTATCATTCTAAAAACTGTGATTTTTATATATACAGGGTCCAGCAGAAGGAACGCCTGCTTGAGTGTGGTTGGTAGGTGCAATAATTTAGTTTTAATTTGAACATTTCATCTAAAATGTCATATGGTATGCTCGAGTGTGATGTTGTTTTGTTACAGAATTACATGCTCATGATTTTGTAATAAAAAAGGGGTGTTATTTCTGCTGGACCCTGTATATCATATGAAAATAAGTCAGGAGTATGTAACAATTTCATGAGTAACCAGCCTCCAAATTATTCCTGTTTAGTTATTTTATTAATTGGATAAACACACTTACATACACATACAAGAGTAAGAACCAGTTTCTCACCTAATTCCTGATTTAACCAAACAACCTGAATTTTATAAGGCATTTGTAAAAGAGACGGTCTTGAGAATAGACCCCCTAAAAATAGATAATCCATTAACAAATATTTAAGAATTGATTTTATTTTACTAGAAGTGTTACAGCTAAAATTTTTAAAAATGCTAGCTGGATTTCAAAGCATCTGTATACCTATATAAAGATACAGGTAAGCATTTATTCATATATGTTTTACTTTACATGATATGGAGACTTTAAAATTTGGACATAAAAATAATGCTTTTTTAAATTTAATCTTTATTATATTTTTTCCATTACCATTTAGTCCCCTTACACCCCTCTCCCCACTGCAATCACCATCCTGTTGTCCTTGTCCTCGAGTCCTTTTTCCTTGTTGCTCAATCCCTCCACCCCCTTACCTCCACCCTCCCCCACTAGCTATCATCTGCTCTCCATCTATGAGTCTGTCTCTGTTTTGCTTGTTAGTTCAGTTTGTTTTGTAAGCTTTAAGCACATTCTAAATGTGATGAGTTTTCATAATCAAAAGAAATTTAGATGGCAAAGTCTCATAAATTGAATCTCTTAATAAATGATATTATAAGACCAAATTCTTGTGCAGAGTTGGCTTAAAGTGAGATTTGTGTGAATTCCAGTAGCCTTCTCCCTTCCAATTCTTTGATCACCACCATTCACTGCAAGAAAGTGAGTCCAGGGTAGGAATATTCAAACCAATCTTGTGGATTGGTCATCACTTCATTCTCTGAAGAGAAGGACCCCAGAGGATTTTCAGTTAAGATTGGAAGAAGCTTTGGCTAATCTTTTCCCCTCTTTAAAGAGAGACTCACATTCTCATAGACACTTGGGAGAGAGCCACCCAGGGTGGAGTTCCACACATCCAGCCTGAATCAACTTGTGCTGTTTTAGACCCACCCTTGTTCTCTTTCTTAGTGCCACACCACAAAGCACTGTCTGAAAGCTTTGACATTCTGACTTTGCTCCCTGGCTACAGAGTTGTTCGTTTTTATACCATTTTGTATATAGCTCTACCACGCCCTAAAGCAGTCTAGTATTTACATGTGTTAATTATCAGTCAAACAGACAAACACAGTGAGCATTAAAGAGTAGTGACTTTTAACATGGAAGGAAGTCCATGAAATGAAGGACTCACATAAGCAGGTTAATATGGTCAAATCTTTGCCTAATATACCTTCTTTCCTCTTGCTTCCAGTACAATTTCTATCTTTTTCTGTTCCTGCTTCTGACTGTCTGAAAGAAAAATGGAAAAACTCTTCCTTTGGGAAGACAAAATGAGGTCATGTGTTGTGTAAATTGAGCCATCTTTAAGAATTCTGAAGTCAGGATCACTTGACCGGATTAGGCTGGCTGACTGGAGACACTCCTTCAGATTCACTAGAGGGAAGAAATATCACAGTAGTTTGTAAGATGAAACAGGAATAGAACGAGTTTGACAGGAATAACAACTGCAAGTTAGTGCATGAGAAGCAGAAAGTCACCCTTGGAATTTGTTGAGTACCTACTATTCTAAAACTGAGGGATCATGAAAATTAAATAATTAAATTAATGAAGTCATAGTTTCTATTACTGTCATCATAAATTAATTTATAAATAAGCACATCTTTTTAGTGTCACTGGATTTATTGTTTCCACTTTAACTTTTACTTATATATAAATTTGTTGTTTTATATTATATATAGTACAATTATGACATCAGTAGATTTTGAACTTGTTTACAATAACCTGTGATAGTTAAATCTTGCCAAAAAATAAGAAAACTGATCTGTACATATTGATCAATAATATTGCAAATAATCATTTTATAATGTATTTTGGAGATTTAATAAACACAATACTTAGTATATGTTGTGTTTGTTGTCAAAATATTTTCTTCACAGATCCATATAATACATTTAGCATATTTACTGTGTATCTTTAGAGTAAAGACTGTATACCCTTGACATGTATTAAGAAGATGTAAGGGATTAATTTAAAGCACTGGTACAAGCAATCTCTATCTTGGAAAATATACCACTTCTGGTTTCAAAGTGTATTTTTCTAAACGTAAACTTAAGCGAGCGAAAATCTTTGATGGAAGGAATGTTATGTGTGCACTCTTAACAACCAACATACACATCAGGCATTGCTGTGATAGCAAGAGTAGTTGAAATTTTATTTGACTTTCAAACAGGCTATTCTGTGAAATAGATCACATAAATTCTTGCTGGGTACTGGTTCATTGCAATCAAACTCAAGCACTATTTTTCTTCGGAGGCATTTAAGTTTTGACACATCTGTTTTAAATGTAATCAATTAAAGCATCTTGACTTTGGAATTTTGGCAACAGATTAGTCAATATGAATTAAAATATGCTTTTAGCCTTTTGTGTCTTGCTTTGTTTTAACTAATCTAAGAGAATTTAGCCCTCTAGTGTTTACTAATTTTTCTGGCATGAAAAGTATACAGTAAACTTGGCACTTTTGTTGTTTCTAACCACTATTAAAAAAACAAACAATTCATCTTTCATTTTTGTTGATTTTTAATGCTAAGTAGCTACTATATGACTTTTATCCCAAACTTTACAAGAGTAGCCTAAAACTAAATGTACTAGTTAAATCTATGAAAATTTTAATACCATTTCTCACCTTTTCCTACAAGGCTTTCAGCCTGAAGATGAGAAGGAACTTGAAGAGAAATTTTCTGACAAGCATCGCAAAACAATATTAAAACCTCAAAACAAAAAAAAACAACAGGAATTACATTTGATTACAAACTTTCATGTTACAGTTTTGCCTTACTGATAAAAGTATTGTCAATTTCAGCAGCAAAGAAAGCTTCTAATCCCTTGACTTTTTTAATATTCATTTTTAAAGGAAACAGCAAAGAAAGTGGCCCCAGGGGCACCACTGACATTTAATATCAATGAAAAAATTAAAGTGAACAGTAGTTCTTAGAACCTAAATCATATTGTATAATTTTAAAATGTATTATAAACCACTGATTTTATATAGACGCTATTATCTCTAAGACCATTCATAAGTGCTATTCTCATCTTTCTAGCATAAAGTACTTAACTCTGGAATATAATAATCACATATTTGTACACAAATCATCATTTTCACAGACCCCCAAAATTTGAGGGTATAAGTCAAGTATAAAAATATTTGGAAAATTTTTTCACCCCTTAAAGAAAAATACCCGCTCCTTAGATTGGCTTGGCATAAATGTCAAAGTTTAAATAATCTCATTCACAAAACTAATCTAAAAATTACATATTTCAAAATATAGAGAGTGCCTTTCAATGGAGTAGAGATATCTAATTAAATTCAAAACACAATTATTGTCTTCATTAAAAAACTAGGTAGTTTGTCCTGGCCAGGTAGCTCAGAGCATTGTCCTGATACACCAAGGTTGCAGGTTCAATCCCCAGTCAGGGCACATCCAAGAAACAACCAATGAATGCATAAACAAAAGTGAAACAACAAATCACTATTTCTCTCTCTCCCCCTTTCTCTCTTTCTGCAAAGTCAATTAAAAAACCACAAAAACAACTTTTTTTAAAGCTAGTAGTTCAAGGAAAGAAGGTTTATTTGCACCAGCATCACTACGAACAGGTGAGTAATGTGTTGTACTGTGATGTTAGGACAGGTACAATGTCACTAGGTGATAAGAGTTTTTCAGTTCCACTAGAATCTTACGGGACCACTGTTGTATATGTGGTCCCATTGTCGATCCCAACTTTGTTATGTGGTGTATGATTGCAGCTTATAATTTTACAAAAACTCTGTTAGGCAGATAATACCAAAGACTGCAATTTAAAAAAGTCATATTTATTTGTCTTTAGTTTTAATTTAAATAACCACTTTTTAAAATGAGACATTTTAATTTATTTGACTTTTTAATATTTTTATTCCTAATACCAAGGAATGAACTAAACTATATCTAAAAACCTTTCTAAGCATAAAATATTCTATTACTTTATGATCTAAATATATAATGTGGAAAGAGTGTTTTATAATTAGAAATATATACACAAATATACACATCCACATACATATATACACATAAACACACATATATACATATAAACACACATATATACATATACATATACATATATATATACACATTATTCTTGTAGGATATATCTACATTCCCATTCCTACACCCATCTTTTTTCCTTCTTGCTCAGGACCTTCCTTTGCCAGCAGAGCCAATGGATGACTCCCAAAATATTATTCTTCAAGTCTTCAGGTTAAATTAGAAGCTTAGCAATTTCGAGGAAGGATGAATCAGATGCTCTTTTGGTCATTATGGGGATAAAGGATGGATGAGCAAGGGATGAACCAAAAGATGCTGAACAGAACATAGACCAAAAGCAAAAGAATCCTTGAAAAGCTGTCATCACATCTTACCTAACCCGTACTAACTCAAGCAAGTTTCTGAGTTTTATTCACACCCCACCCCCACCAGGCAGTTACAGGGGGAGAACACCACCATCAATCCCACATCAGGTATCAGTTATATGGAAAAAATATTTATCCCCATACAATAAAATCTTTTAATTCTGAAAATATAATTTGAAGTTAAAATATTTTGCTAAAATGTAAAATGAAGAAAATTCAGGGTTTAGAAATGCCAGATATGTGAGACAATTCCCTTTTACCCCCTTCCCACCAAAATAAAAATTAGCACCTGAGTTCACAGTTATAAAGCTATTAAAAACCTAAGTAGAAGCCAGGTCAATGTTATTTGTTTTAAAAAAAACTGTTACAGTTTTCTTATTATTTTTCTCAAGTAAAACCCCTTGCCTGAACTAAGAGCTCCACCCTTCTCTTAGCTCCTCCTGTGTAAAATTAAGAAAGCTTTGGATAATTCACATCTTTACCCAGAATCCTTTTCATCTTCTCACAGCTTAATGGAACCTAAGCCTGTTAAATAACTACAGCTTATTTAGTGACTAGCAGCAAAAGCAACCTTCCGAGCCAAATGCCTGAGGAATAAATACATTCCATTACTCCTTAAAGAAACATCATAGCAGGACTGAACAGGGGATTCCCTTAAAAAACTAACGATCTGGCCTTGAGCACTTGAAGAATCAATGAAATAGCTGCCTTTCAGCGTTCTGAGTCTTTCAACTCTTCCTGGGAATTTTCTGAGATCTGTTTTTCTTTTTCCCAGTTTAATTTCTGTGCCTTCCACTCCCACCCCTACTCCCGTTCAAGCCGGAGAGAGGAAGCACAGAGTAACCTGCTAAAATTCCTTAACCCTTTGGTGGTTACTCACCAGGAGAGAGAAAAGGAGCTGCTTACAGAAGAGGCTCCCTGGGGCAGCAGAGGCCACAGCCATCGGAAGCAGTCCCAATGGTCAGGGATGGTGACTGGATGATAGGGCAGCCAGGGATGCACAATGCAGGTTCTCAGTGGCTGGCACTGTGCAGGGTATTCTGCTGCCACCCGGGTGCAGGTCAGCTTGATTTGGCGAAGAGTCAGGAGTCAAGCGGTAAGTGACAAGAGGCGGAGTAGCAGGAGACTCGCTTTCCTCCTATTCCTGGGTCAGCCTTTCTCCATCCAATTCAATTACCTCTGAATGTAAAGAGGCTTCCTACCAGTGGGGAGGGTGGGGTACAAAACAGCCCCAGACCCAATCACTAGCTCCTCCTCACAGCAGCTTTCAAAACTTCTGCCACTTGACACATAAGCAGAAGCGAGAGGGAACACCCTCAATCCTTGGCCCTCCGCCCTTTCCCCCCAGGTCGATGCTCTGAAGTCCTCCCCAGTTATTACCCACTCCTACGTCCTTCCCTCCTTCTTGGCCTTATTAACCTATCTTGCCCCTGGGTACAATTGTGCCCAAACTCTGTGCAAGGAAGTGTTATCTACTCAGCTACCATTGGCAAATCGGGGGATATATGCACAAGTAATCGCATCATCAGAAGTTATCTCCCCATCTAGGCACTTAGATGGAGGCTGTCTTCTACGGCATTGCAATCCTCAGAGAGCTGGCACTTGTCTACGGCAGTAACTTCAGGGATGCATTGTGCCTACTCCCTTTGTTGTCTATCCACGGTGCTCTGGTCTTCTAGATGTCCCAAAGAATTTACCAGAATGTATATAGACCCCATAAAAGTAAGAGAATAAAAAAATAGCTGATAGGATTTTCTTATTGCATTTTTTGTTATTTATGAAACACTTTTTTCTTGAGTATCTTTATTCAAAAACACCTGTTGAGACTAACTCTCTTTAAAATCACTCTATTCATCTTAATTACTTGTACATTACATGCAGGATATCCCAGACTAAAAGTACCATATGTCACCCATTTTTGTTTTTTAAACACTAATGACTGTTGCAATGAGGACTTTAGCAGCATTTCTCCCATCACAACTGAGTGAGTTCAATATCAGTTGTGCACAACATCACTGATGGAATTTAGGAAAAGAGGAAAAATATTTTTAAATCGCAATTGTTCAATCTGGAATATAGAAAGGGAACCAAAAGTCTTACTTTCTGAGCCACTCCTAGGAGTCAGGAACCATGACAGGCATTGCAGTGAGTCCCAGAGCCCAATGAGGAATCTTTTTAAATGGTGAAACCACGAGAAAGTAAGTAATTATCCTTTGCCCATTAACCCACAGACAACCTCAGAGTCAGAACCTAAGTCTGACTGCCACCAATGTGCAGTCACTTTGAAAAGGAACAGAAAATGATGATCCAGTAATGCGAGAACTCTGTCTTGCTGAACAAGAAACAAGTTAGAGACTAGTAAAATGCATTCGGAAGCATTTATAATCTACACCTCTTAGTAACAACAGCCAATTATTCTGGAATACTGGCATGTGAGCTCTTGTATGAGAGTTATTCTGTAGTTAAGTAAAATGGCTGTGAAACGACTTACTTTATAAATTTTTATACCAGAAATTACTCTTCCCTGTTCTTGCCACTTACATTTATATCTAATGTTTAACTAAAAAGTAAAAGCGCAGCCCAATACCCATGCTGCTGATTAAGGAAGAACGAAAAATTTTCTTTTGTTTATTTGACAGTAAGAGCAAATCTTTCTTGTGTGTAGAGGTAAAAATAATAATATAACTGCTTCTTTGTAATTATGGGCCAGGAAGATTTGGGAAATATGTGTCTTACAGAAATACAGTTACAAATTTCATGTTCATGCACAACCAACTTGCAGAAAATATTAGGTATAAATAAATTCCAGCCTTCAAATAGCCACTTACAGATAGAATTATTATCTTTGTCAACGGACACAATTTATTCTAAAAGACTCTGGACTGGTAGGAATGCTGTACAGATTAAGGAAGTCCTAACAAGGCTCTTTGCGTTAAATATACATGACCAAAGATAAGAGATATTACAGGTAGTTACTGGGGTAAAACAGGATGTGCAGTCTTAATGTGGGAGAGTAGAAATCTTGGATCCCAGGAATTCAATGTCCTGCAGTGGAAAGCCCCTTCGATTCTACTAGACTCACAACTTCTAATTGGGCAAAAAGTTATTAAAAGTTTAAAATAACATATAGGTACTAATAAAGGCTGGCAATGATTTCTTAAGGTTATTTGCATAGAATACTGATTAATTTTACATAAAATGATCCCTTTCTATTATTATAACCACTGGCATACCTTTGAAAAAGAAATGCCAGCGTATATGTCTCTGTATAATTTAGAGCTTTCTCTATTCGGCACACACGCCTAACTCAAACTGGCTTAAGAGAAACAAAAAAAATTGTTGAGGACAAAGAGATTTGTTAGATTACGTAATGGAAAGTCCGGGAATACCCTTAAATGCAGGCATAGCTCGAGCCAAACCGTCACATGATGTTACCAAGGTACTGTTTCTCTTCGTTTCTTAGTTTTGCCTTTGTGTTGGCTTCATTATTATTGTTTTCTCAATGTAGCAGCAAAGATGGTCACCAGAAACTCCAAGATTACATCCCACTGCTTTAGTATGCCAAAGCTGAAAATTCAAGATTTGTTTTTAATCATTTGAGCAAAAACAATCCCACTGGCCAAATCTTGTCCATTAGGCTAAAGTGAAGGGGTGAGCCAGACACAGGGGCAAAAAGTGCTGACGTGGTCATTTCCCAAAGACAGCTATGGTCTGTTAACCGGAAAAGGAGGAATATCAGCTAGATAGGCAAATCAAAATATGTCCACCATAATAACTTTTTCTTTATTTTTATTTTAATAATACAAGTCAATTATCTCTCAGTCATTTATTAACATCTCCTATACTCTAAGCATTACTGATGACCAAAAGCTGAAGAAGACAAGATCTCTGGCCTCATGGAGCTTACAACCTACTACATGTTTTGAAAATGTGTTAAGTACTTCCTATGAGGTGGTCAAGATTAAAATTCTGGTATAATGAACATAATGAAAGACTTTTATTCACCTCCTAATATTTCCTTCAATTATTATTTTCTTTGGTGCCTTTCAAAGTTAAATGTGAAAGTGGTTTTTTTTAATGACAGATTCTTACTTTCATTTATTTATCTTACGTACTAAAAATCATATTATTGAATGTTAACTTTAAAAATAAGAATATATAGTCAGTACCTAAACTTTGTTAAGATAGAAAATTAGGAGGGAAACTTCACCCATAATCTAAAGGTAATCTTCCAATATATAGCTTCCAGTCTAGTTTATACATATGAAAATTGTAACATTGTTATACTGTGTTATAAATGTAAATGTATAGCATGCATTTCTCTCTGAGTAATAGAAAACAAATATTTGTCCTATGTCATGGCTAGTCCTGACTAGGTATGTTAGTGACTGTATTAAATTCCTTCAAATAAATACATTACAATTGATTTAGCCACTCTCTAATATTGGATATTCAAGTTGTTCCCAATTTTTCATTATTGTAAAGACCACGTTGGTAAAAAAAACTTTTTCTGGATATAGGATCACTTCTACAGAGAGTCCCACAAGTAGAAGTTCTAGGTCAAAAAAATGGTATTTAATGGCTCTCGGTATATAAAACCAACTTGCATCACAAAAGCAGAGTACAATGTACATTCTCACTGACAATGAATGCAATAATAAACATCTTAGCCAAAGTTGAATATTATTATTTCATTAATAATCCTACTATTTTGATAACTAAGACACCATAATTATAATCTGAATTATTTGCTTGGTCGTAATTGGGCATTTTTCACAACTGTCAAGCTAATGAACTTTTTTTGATGATGTATATGCTCTTTCAATATATTGGCATATATGTGAAACTATATGGAAATTGGCACATTTGAAATAAATATGTTAATAATTAAAACTCTTCAATGGAGTTTGAGATGAGAAGGTTGTTACACTTTTAGTTTCTAGGCTTTTATATCCTTGTGAGTCAGTCTGATAACTTTGCTAAAGTATTTTTGCCTTAGAAGTCCTTTGAAATATTAATCTTCCCTGAAAAACTATTGGTGTTTTCTAAAGTAGCAGCCACAAAATTCACCCAGGGCTTTACCACTTGATTTGTTGGCTAGATAGAAATATAAGTATTTTCATTTCTATTTAGCAAATGGGATACATACTCAAAAGGTCCATTTCTAATCTCTTTGCTATTGAACTAAAAATATAACACCCTCCCTAAGGTTTCTGCAGTTTGTTTTGGATATAACAAAAATAAATGTCTATTGCTCAAATCCTGCATAGTACTTCATGAAATGCCCCTCTGAATTTGTTCTTACCTACGGTTACTTTAAAACAGACTGCCCTATCAATGGTCCTGCTGCTGCTTTTCAGAACTAAGAGTGAAGAGGAGGATTAGATTGCTGGTCTTGACAATGGTTGCTAAGAACCGTGACTAATTTTTATGTACTGGAACATCATGAGAAAGCTGTTAATGAAAAGCAGAAACTGCTCTGCATGATCAAGCAAAATATTTTGTGCTGTGTGGACAAGAAACACTTATAAATTGTGTTGTCTTTTTGTAAAAGTTTCACCATATGGATCTGAACTAGAATGTTTCTGAGAATTTTTGCCTGTATTTTGAAAATATGCATGGTACCTACACACCATGTTTCTCCTAAGACAGATCAGAGGTCTCAGGTCCAGAGAAAAAGCTCATATTTACCTTAATTTAGCCTCCAATGTTAGGTTGACTCTTCTGATATTTTACCACTATCCTGAAAGGGAAGCACATGATGGTATGTTTTGCAGAAGTCCCAGAAGTGTAACCAAATAATTCAAATTCTAGGGAATCTACTATGTCCTGTGGACTGTTCTGGTTGGGGGAGAAAGATGGATATTGATCTTAGTGAACAGGAAGGTTATACAGATTCACACCATGAACAACTGGATATTGGGCCAGGCCAGGAAGTAGAAT